CTTCTTCTTCTTCTTCTTCTTCTTCTTCTTCTTCTTCTTCTTCTTCTTCTTCTTCTTCTTCTTCTTCTTCTTCTTCTTCTTCTTCTTCTTCTTCTTCTTCTTCTTCTTCTTCTTCTTCTTCTTCTTCGAGCCCCTTGTCCCAACGCACGCACGAGGTATTCACTGGCCAAAGAACCCCAGGTCATGGGGCGGCAAGCCAAAGTCCAGATCCGACGACGACGGCGGGAGCTGGAACCCCCAGACGGCCGGGTCGTCGGACAGGAAGGGGAACATCAGTCCGGTCTCACCGTCGGCGGGACCAAAGTCAGTGGTGAGTGGCAACGAATTGAGACCGACCCCGGAATCCGTCACGGCCTTTGTGTGTTCGAAGATGATGTCGAGATTTTCGGGTCCTAGTGCAGGCAGGAGAAGTTCCGTCTCTGGGTCATTTGATGCTGCTGCTGCTGCTGCTGCTCCTGCGCCTGCGGTGGTGGTGGCGAGGAGGTTGTCCGAGAAATTGAGTCGGGAAACGACGCCCCGGACCCGTTCCCACAGGTACTTGGATTGGATTGAAGTTTCGGCCAGGGTTTGGAGACGGGCCAGCGCGGTGGTCGAGCTCTGTCGCGCCTTCTGGGCGATCTCTGTGGGGACGACGAGTTCCTGGCCGTTGGCGGACGGCGATCCCACGCCGGATGACCTGTGCGTGGTGGCGAAGAGGAGCACGTCCAGGGCCGAAATCAAAAAGTGGTTGAACTGCGCTTGGTGGAAGAGGTACTCCCCCCTGGAAGAGTCCAGCTCGCTGAGAACCGCGACCGTGTCGGCCGCGATGTCTACCGAGGTGACCCAGATATCCGCGGGCGCGGCGTTTCGCAGGCCAGAACAAAGGAATGCGCGGGCGATGAGCGTCTTGAGGTGGTTGGCTCGGATGTGCAGAATCGTGCGCACCATGGATAGTCCTGGTGGTCCGAGACTGGTGCTGCTTTGAACCTCACCCTCATCCTGACCCTGACCACAGACTTCAAATGTCTCCGACGCTCGAGTCGCCCACAAGTTCACCCGGTAGAGAAAGTAGGCATAATCGTCCTGGAACGTCGACAGTTGCTCAGGATTCAGGATTTTGTCGTTCAGCAGGGCGTCGCACGACTGTTTCCCAATACTTGCGTACTCGATCATGAGCTGTAAAAAGGGCGCTTCGACCTAAAAATGTCATATCAGTCGGCTATGAACGATCTCTATGGTGGTAGATGTGACGAATGGGGGATCCGTTTATTTGGTGGGCACCGAGAGACACATGGCTTACCGGCTGAGGAAAATTGGGCTCTGGATGGAGGTTTTGCATGGCATTCGAGAAGCCCAGGGCATAGCTGAGATGCTGCTCGAGCACAAACACCGTCCACACGGTATTGATAGCCTGGGATCGATTCTTGGGGTCGGGGAAAGACCGGTCCAGGACCATTTTTCGATTCAATCCCAGTTCAAGGATGATGCGGCTGACGTTCATCGTGAATCTCCAAGCCAGTCTCCATCGAGCGCAATGCAAATGGTACAAGATCTGGCACATGACGCATTAAACCCATTGATTCCTCTGTATGTGGTGGACGAAATCAAGACGTACCACTAATGTCATCAACACCAGGTCTTTCAGATCAACTGCGGCACTCCAAATCATAGTTTCGATCTGCGAGTGGAGAGATTGTAGCAGACTAGAGGTCAGCGTTTGATGGGTGTCACCTTCGGCCAGGAGGCCAATTGCCACGACCATTTTCAGGATAGCCGAGTCCTCCTTGTCAATCGAGTGTCCTCGTCCACGGGTAGAAAGCCCGCCGGTCGAATCAGAGAGGGCTCCTATGGCTTCTTCAAGGGTTGAAATATCCAGGATGGGATACATGACCCATTCCAGACTGTGAAAGGCTTGCACTCCTCTCTGAAGGAGATTGGGTTCCACATCATAGAGCGGGTCTATCAGTTTGACCGGTACAGAAGCATCTTGGCTGCTTGAGCTCGCCGTCGCAATTGACTGTGCGACATGTTCGATTTCGCTCCGGCTTATGTCACTTGACTCCCCATTGACCACCTCACCGCGGATAATCGACAAAGCCGGCCGTGTCTGTGTCCCAGTAGACACCCCCGGTGTGTTTGATCCTTGAGAAAAATCAAGTCCAAGCTTTCTGACACCCGCATCGATGACGTTGACGCAAAAGAAAGCACTGGTCGACGTCTGAAAGAGCGGTAAAGGGTGTTTCTCAGCTGCGAGGCAAGCATCGGCCTTTGACAGGCGATTTTCAGCCGCTTCGTACGCAGCTTCAATGGCCGCGGTCTTCTTGATCAAGAGATCCAGCTTCTCGTTCTGTTGTCGCAGCAGAGCCGAGACCTCTGCTTCAAACTTCCGCTCGTCATCCCTTTGCGGTCAGTCAGGTCTTGCAAAGACAAATGATGTGCTCTTACTCTGGCCGAGGCTCTTGGACTTGGAAGTTTGGAGGTGCTTGAGCACTGTACAGACAGGTGGCGTCTCGAGAAGCACAATATTTGCAGGGAAGGCGCCCGTCACATCTCACTTTTGCAGCTTTGCACTTTTCACACGCATGCGGCGTATATCGACTTCTCTTTCGGGGGCGGTGAGACGAGATTTGTTGTGTCTCAGTATCCGTTGCGTTTGCTGCTCCTGCTGCCCTCTTACCTCCAGAGACATCGCGTGGCCCGGCCATTATGACAAAGGAAATACGGTGGTGAAGAGAGATGACAAGGAGAATAGAAGCGACAGCAGCTTACATCCTGTTTTCTAGGTACCACAGCCACCGAGTATATCTGACTAATTTTCGCCATCTCGACACCCCGAGTGAATGCGGAAAAGCACCGAGATCGACACAGGGCACTCTGAAACTGAAAGGCGGGGGACTCGGGTGTTTTGTTGGCTGTCTGTGGGGGAGAGTGGGAGAGAGTGTCAGCTCCAGCTCCAGCTCCGGTGATGCCGGGGGCGCCGGAGTATCAATCATCCTTAGCTGCTTTGGGGCCCCTGGATCTTCAGCCTCATTCGCCTGGGTCACCCAACTAGGTACAGTACCACAGCACTAAGCTTACTAGATGGGATTCTCTAGTGCCTTCGAACTGTCTGGTAAGTCCGGTCCGACGGTGGCGATTTGGCGATTTTGCGATTGTAGAGATGGCCACTTTTGTATCAGCACCTCGTATATTCTGTTGATACGACGTTGATGTAAAGACCATCGTCAAGTTCCCGGGAATGTCCGAAGAAATGGCCAATGGGTTTAGGTATACTCGGACCATAGCTTAAGAAAGCTCTTTACGAGTACAAGTGAATTCGACCCAGTCTTTGAGCCAGCTGTCACTGTTGGTAAGCGATCGAGATAGTGCCAAGGTGACGGACGCCCTGAGCACATCTCTACGGCGAGACTCGCTGTCGGATCTGGCTCGTACCTCTTTGAGGATCTAGTACATCTCAGGTCGAGATGATCGCGTACATGACGCCAAAGCCAGATCTTGCGATTCAAGGTAGAGAGAGCCGTGCCAGCAGCTCTTGACCTAAGCACGAATCGTATGAGGCTCAAATTCGAGGTAGAGGGTCCTGATGTACAATGCTCATTATCCAAGACGGGATCCGTGGCCAAAACTGGCATCGCATTCAGTCAACTTGAACGACGTTGCGGTATGAAAAGCCTCTTATGGTTCATTCCGTAGCAGTGCATCAAAATTACCCGACAGGGATGATGTCCCTGGGTCTAAGTAGTCGAGATCAAAATTGAGGTCCTCCAGGCCCACAAGGTTGTCCAGGGCTGTTTGGAGAGCTTGGAGGTTGTTCTCTAGCAGCCGCAGCTGTCTGTCGAAATGTTTCGCAGGTAAGTTACCCGCTAGGCTCTGCTGACGGAGGATACCAATTAGGCTGCCGAGGGCAGACAAGTCCTCGTCCGTAAATTGCAGAGCGTCCTGGTTGGGATACTCGAATGACCGCATGGTGCTGGCAAGCTGAAGTGCTATGGCAGCAGTGAAGGCGTAGCTGGCATCAAAATAGGAATAGGTGACTGTACATGTATTGAATTAGCATCCGGTGTAAACGAGAAATTGGATTTCCTCACATAGAGCACCCTGGTATTGCAGCCACTCCAGGATACTAGCTGTCTCTCGCGCAGAGTCTAAAATAGCATTATAAAATGCTCGCAGCATTGACTTCAACACGGGAGAGGCGTCGACCATATCGGGATGTACCCTAGTTCGTGCTTCGAAACGGTCATTATGGATATTGACCAAAGCTGGCCTAAGGAGCACGAGGATGGTCTGGTCCTGGTCAGTAAAAACAACAAGATTCTGCGTGGTGAAGAGGGCTAACTTGATGATAGGTGAGATGCAAGCTCGCGATCGATCGGCTTGGGTTAAATCCCGATCCATCCAAACTCCTGGCGAGCTTCAGTCTTTCCGGGAGCTCCTGCTGCCAGGCGATGAGGCCTTGGTGGAATTCATCCATCTTGTCCAGGTGTTGTTGTGATAAAGAATTCCTCAGGTCAAAATCGTACAGTGAGATATGAGAGTAGGGGTTGATCGCAGTGCCTGCATAACCATATAAGGAGGAATAAGCCTGACCTCTCAGGCGCATGAGTTCCATGTGTGCATTGGCCTCTTCGGAGTCAAAGAACTCCATCACCGAGTCGCCGGAAATACGACTGGAGTCGGCATAATCAATGTTTATTTCGTCGTCAAGGATACCCCAGGGGCGACCCGTGGTGGAGGAAGTAAGTCTAAGCGAGGGGTCAGCTCGTTCAAGAGAAGTTGACACTGTCTCGACGTACAGATCTTGATAGTACACATTCCAGAATACGCGCCTCTGGTGTTCGCTCTCCGCCACACGGAGATCCGAGGCTTCAGACGGGATATCTAAAGGACTTCGGTGCAAGCCGAGTGACAGGGCCGCGCGCAAACCGAGACCGTTGAACATATAGCCAGTGTTGATTTTGTCCATGGAAAAAGCGTAGATTGCAAGTAAGCATAAGGTCTCGATGTACAATACATCGGGATTCTCAGCCACCTGCTGAAGAAACGCAACGGATTGGTGATAATACTCGGCTCCTGGAGGTTCCCTGTCGGGTGTTGTTCCCACGCCGTTATCGGTACTGGTGTGTCCGTTGTTATTGTGTAGCTCCCCGACTGCGAGAACTGCAAGCCAAAAGCAGAGCCAACCTCGATCTTTGCTTTGGGGGGATTCCGGGTTTTGATACATCTGCGTTACCCTGCTGCGAATGTGTTGTCGTCGGAAGTAGTGTTGATCGTGCCCGATTGCAAACTCAACGCATTGAATTAAATGCATACTGTGATTATAGGGGGGCATACGAATCCTCACAGGTCGATTGGTCTCCGATCGGGCTGAAGGGCGGAACACTTCGGTATCAATTGATATCTCCAACCCAGGGTTCATCAGGCCTGAGTCTAGGTGTGAAAGGGAAGCCCATGATGGATTGAAGGACGCCTCATCGAAAGGGTTCAGCTGGAGTTTCTGCACTACAACCCATGCAAGAAATTGCTCAGTAAACGTACGACATGAGGGGCTAGCACAGTAGGTTTGCCTCGAAACACGTTTGCTTTCATCGGATCGCCGCGAGCTGAAATCTTTCTCGGAACGTCTATAGCTGCCGGCTTTTGATGCCCCTGGTGTCGGCACTCCGTTGAACGTGATTGATGGTGTTGGCTGATCCTCCTTAAGGCTGTTTGAAGGCGAGACAGGTCCCTGCTGGCTCGTCGAAGGTCGAGATCTCCGGGGTGGTGGGAAGATACATGGTGCATCGGAAAGTGTGCAGTTCCTACACGGTACCCCTAGAGCCTGGATTAGCATCATAGCAACGTGCCTATGTCATCGCGTGCATACCGCCTAGGCACTTTATTCTTTTCGTGTGACACCTTGAACACCTATCGTGAACGGTTAGCGCTTCAGCCTCCAGACCCACGGATTTTAAGCCAGAGTCAAGGATGAGACCGGGAGAATCACACACGCTTGCTTCCTACGTGGGGTGTAATAAATTGGCTCCGGTCTGTGCACGCTTGGGGTCTCGTTGAATGTTACCGAAGGGAGAGACGCCGGTGTCTGCCACATTGTCGTAAAAAAGGTGACTCACGGTTCGCTGGGCAATAAACTGCTCTGTAAAGTGTCTAGCATGAAGGAATACCCCAAATTGTACAATGTTCCGACCATGTAGTTGGTGGGACTTATCTTGTTTGGGAGTATCAAGTGTGATACACGAGGAGTTGATAAACAGCCTCTGACGGGCTGGACGGACCAACGGACCAACAGCGTTAGCCAAAGGAAGGGTCTTGGGGCTAGATCATCACGTGACTGGACTAGAAGTCTTGGCATTATCAACTAAAATTGTCGGTTATTGCGCTTAATTCTGCCTCTTGAACTCCATCTCACTCCATCTCAGCATTAAACTAAACTATGACTACTACGTATGTGTCAGGCCATGTTCAGTGGGCTTGTAACAGATCGGAAGACGCTCTTGGCACGCATATTCATATGAGCCCTCAATTTCTTTTGGTGGAACAACGGCGACAGTGTCATTCAATATGCACATGGGTATCAGTATCAGTTGCCCTCTATTAAAGAATGCTCCCCATGGTCTCAGTTCGTCGCATCCGCGTACTCGAGAACCACACTCTTGGGCTCAACAAACACACCCAAGGGACGGTAGTCAATATTGTATCCGAATGCCTGCGGTCCACCATACTCCAACCCTTTCTTTGTGTCTGACCATCGCGGCGAGCAGGTAATTCCAAGCACTGTTACTAGCAATCCATATCGAAATTCAGGAACGCCAAGGGCGCATCCAGATTGCGTGTCGAGAACTGAGATCAGGTCGGGAACTGTCGCCAGGTATGTTTCGGTTCCGTCATTGGCGATATGCTTTGCATAGATGTTTTCGTTCTTGAACGGAATCTTGACCACCCCTCCCTCAGCAACTGCCGCCATCTCATGACTCTGCTCCTCTTCGTCTTCGTCGGTTTGAGCTATTGTGATCTCTCCATAAGAATGTCCTTTGAACACCCTTCGTTCGACTGCCACTATCTTCCCTCGGAAGAGGATCTTCGCAGTGGACGGACCGCCAACTTCGTCGATGATTTGTTCTGCAACGGTATGAATAGTGCTCTCTTGTTGAGCACGGGCAACGGTCCTCCCAATTCGCCAGGCCAGTGAAAGGGTGTTGATGACCCCATAAGATCTGACACGATCAGTCGTCGTCGGCTTGGCTGCCATGCCCACTCTAGATCCCATTTCCGAGCAAGAGGCTCGCAAGGCACGGTCGACTATTTCATCGTCAGGGGACTTTGTCATGATGATCGTTTTACCGTCACCCGAAGCGATTGCGCACGGGGTGAGTTGCCCAGTTTCATGGACCGCAATTGTGGTTTGCCAGTATGTTGGATATGCTCGACCTGATGTCGTGTCAGCAATTCATCAATATTTGTGCAAGGTGAAGACGAGGGACATACCCATCCAATCTGCGTCGATTACTGGTCTATCGAACGCATGAGAAGAGCCAATGAGCAAAGGCTCTAACCCGTTTGCTCCTCCGATCTCCAGGCCCATGATGGCATCGAATGATTTGTGACCTAGGTACTCCATCAGGTCTGCCACGGCTGCTATGCATTCCGAAGAGTTCAATCGCTCAATCGAGACGGCTGGCGATCCCATCATACCGCCCCCTACAAGTTTGTCAGCAGCAACGGAGACCATGATAACTTCGGCCGAACTCACAGTATATGAGCGCGTCTTCCTTCAAGGAGGAGCTGTCAATGATACGAACCGTACACCCAGCTCGGATTTGATCGCGGAGTTTAAGGAATTCGGATTTGGGTGAACCACCACCTGCACAACCCAGAATGTAGCACCCTACACTGAGCCACTCAAGGTCGGTCTCTGACACAATCCACTCAGGGACACCGGTGTCGATGTTTCGTCGGATCAGCGGCCGGTATGCGTCGAAATCGAACTTGCCGGTGGTGATCTCTTCCTTCGAGGACGACGAGAGGTCTTTAACCTGTTCGACATGAGGTTCATATACGTCGTCCTCCAAGTCGGAGACAGTCTTGCTGTCCGCAACAAAATCAAGGGACAGATCTCCGACTGCTTTGACAAGGACGCGGATTTGTCCTGAAACGTATGGAATCGGCAAGGTGTCGATTTCCACCACGGTCACTGTATCTGAGTCGGCTCCTCCCGTCACAGCTTTTGCAATCGCTTGCGCTTTTGCATCCTCCACGACTTCAGACAAGGACATGTCTGTAATGCTGTAGATAGCATCGACAGAGCCACACACTCTCGATATCGCAGCTCCAACTGCATTTGCCACTGAGTGAAACTTCGGAACCACGACTTGAGACACGCCTTCGAGCTCTAATGGACAGATGACAGATCCACCGCCGACCAAGAGAACGGGCAATGGTGCCGGAGTGAGCTTCAAGCGGTCGATGACACGCTCAAGCATTTTTTTCGTTCTCGCACGAACGCGCTGTATCATTTCAGGCTTGATGTCGCTGACCAATTCTGGATTCCCGACAGCAAGCCCTCCGGCGACGGCAACGTCAGTGGTTGTACAAGTGTCACCACCAAATACCCTCGACTTAGTGGTCAGCTGGTATCCTACGGAATCCGGCCCGATTGAGACGTCTGTGCCGCGCTCGCGTATGATCGATCCTCCTCCGAGGCCGATTGATTCCAAGTGCGGCATTGGAAAGTTCATCGTCACACCCGCCACACTAACATATGCTGATGCTGCACGAGGAAATCCTGACGGTAAAAGAACACCGCAATCCGTAGTCGTCCCGCCAACGTCAATTACAATTGTCGAAGTACGTTCTTCGCCCTGAAGTCCCAGTTGTCCTAGGCCAAGATATGCGGCTCCTCGCATGGAGTTTGTGGGACCCGAGGAAAATGTCTTGATGGGCAGTTTTGCGGCCGAGACGGAATCGAGGACTGTGCCGTCGTTTTGCGAGATGAATAGCGTGCAGTCGAGCTTCAGCCGCCTCATGGCAGCACGAAAGCCACGGATCGTGCGTCTCGCAAACTTCAGAATGGATGCATTCAAAATGGACGCGTTTTCTCTTTCCAATAATCCGATATTGGAGACTTCGGACGAACAGACGACGTCGACGTCGGGTAGTCGCTTTTGTATTATGTCGCGCACGCGCTTCTCCTGGTGAAAATGCTGGTCGATAGGCGAGAAAATCCCAGAGATGACCACGGCCTTGATCCCGAGTCTTTCAATGGCCTCGCACTCTTTTAAGACTTGCTCCTCGTTGATCGGAGCTTCCTGTGCGCCATCGATGTGGAGACCTCCATCGACATAACCGTGGTAGCCGTGAAGAAGGTCAGCTAGTACTGGAGGAAAGTCCGAAAAGGGAGGAATGTCTTTGGTAAAACTCCTGGACAGTCGAATCACAGCAACTTTGGACAGTCGATGTACATCGCGTTCAATGACGGCATTCAGGAAATGGGTAGTTCCAATAATGAGGCAGGTTATTTCTGAAACACGATCCTCGGCCTGTTTGAGCACGCTACCCACGGCCGTCTCGATACCGTCCGTCACATTGGGACTTGTCGTTGGTGTTTTATGCCAGGCCAGCACTCCACGATTGGGCTGGTGGACTGCATCCAAGTCGAGAAGCACAGCATCCGTGTTGGTACCTCCGACGTCGACGCCAATCCTCAGCGACCGCTTTGCCCGGATTGAACCCATCAGGACGGGAGAGATGTCTGGGAACCTTGAAGGTGACGATTACTCCAGCGATCGACAGTGATACCGTGCACGATTTACCGTCGAAGAAGGCACATAAATACAATCCCGTTCAACCCGAGGTCGACTACGCATTAGGCCAGATTGTGAGGTTTGAGATCCAGATATGTAGGCGAAGCATTCGAGGTCAGTTACAACTCGGTCATTTTCTTGACTAAGTTTTGATTGCTATTTGGTAAGTCCTTTCGTCCAGATGGAGTATTGAGGCAAGTCCAACGAGTCTAGAATACCGTTTGGAAGCATCCGAAACACGTTCTCCAAAAATATGCCGAAGAAAAAGGTTGATTTACGGCAAGCCTTGACCTATCTTCTCCAACGAAGCTAGTTCCCATGTGGCAAATGCCTCCACCGATAGGTTCAGATAGGCATGTCGTCAATCTCCGCAGCAATTCAGACCACTTGATTGGTCTATACGCCCCAAGATAGGTGAGAGTGATCGGGTTCCCCACCAAAAGTACCTTGGCAGAATAGACACTGGTGGGTTTTGGTGGCATCTGAATGACTTGTGGCAACTACAAAGTCAATCTTTGTATTCTTGGGGGTCGGATATTTGCCTTGGCCGGCCCCTGGTATATGGGTACTGGTGCGAATCTAGACTGCTCCTTGTGATACTTGATATTCCAACCACGTTTTCTTGGGCATCAACAAGGAAGATATACAAGAGTTTCCTATCTTCGAGTTACGTGGCTGACTTATGGGAGGAATGATAACGACTCTTCCTTTAACGAGAGTCTAGGGTCACTTATCTCCAGCAACCAGCGACCAGGGTTGCTATATACATCCCGTCGAGAATCCGAATCCTCGAACACCAGACCTTCCTCCCCCCGATCACCACCTCCTGCAATTTGCATTACAACTCCCTCTCTCCAAGCCATTCACGATGAAGTTGCCAAGTTTGCGACCGGGATCCTTTCACCTGCGGCTTCCAGGCGAATCCTCAATCTGGATCAACGATGATATTCGACCGCTCCCTCCTTCCCGCCGCCTCTGGGACACCTGGGCATACATCTCGTTCTGGGCCATCAATCAGATTGCATTGAGTAACTGGCAGCTTGGTGCTTCCCTCATTGCAGTCGGTCTGTCCGTCTGGCAGACCATGATCGCAGTTATTATCGGCAAGCTCATTATCGCCGGAGTCGCCATATGCAATGGTATGGTCGGTGCAACCTGGCATATTGGTTTTCCGGTTTTGTCGCGGGGCATATGGGGAGTCTGGGGATCCTATGTCATTATCATCCAGCGCATTGTCCTGAGTCTGACCTGGTTCTGCGTACAATCCTGGACCGGTGGCCTCTGTGTCACCGCGGTTCTCAGCTCCATCTTCTCGGGTTTCCAACACATGGAGAACACCTTGCCTGAATCTGCAAACACGACGACGAAAGCATTGACCGGTTGGATAGTCTACAACATCATAACTATCCCCATGCTCTACATCCCTCCGGAAAAGACCCGACGGTTGTTGTTCGTCATGAACATCATCTCTGTCACCACACTCATCTCCATGATGATCTACGTCCTCTCCACTGCGAAGGGTGGCGGTCCACTATTGTCAGCGCCCGCAGCAGCCCAGTCGGGCAGCCAACTGGGTTGGGCAATTGTGCAGGGTATAACAACAGTGATTGGAGGTATCGCCGTCGGACTCACGAATCAGACTGACTACTCTCGCTTCGCTCGTCGACCAGGTGACCAGATCTTTGGCCAGTGGTTCTCCATCCTCACCTTGGGCACGATCTTGCCGTTGTTTGGTTGTCTCACCAGTTCAGCATCCATCAAGCTGTACGGCGAAGCTTACTGGAATCCACCTGACCTCTTGCTCCGCTGGCTCGACGATGACTACAATTCCAAGGCTCGAGCCGCCGCCTTCTTTGGTGGCTGTGGACTTGTGGTCTGCCAGCTTGCGATCAACACCATCGACAATGCATTTTCCGCTGGAATGGACATGGCTGGTCTGCTTCCCAAGTACTTCAACATTAGGCGAGGATCCTACCTGGCTCTCATCCTTTCTATTGCCATGTGCCCGTGGGAGCTGCTTGCCTCGGCTGGGACTTTTATCAGTGTTATGGGTGCCTGTATGTATCTTCCCATCTCTTTTTTTCCAGTCGTGCATACGTTCTCCATGGGGACACGTGAGCTAACTATGCCCGTGACAGACTCCGTCTTCCTTGGACCCATGTGTGGCATCCAGATCTGCGACTATTTCTTAATCCGCCGTCAACGAATGAAACTATCAGACCTATACACGCCCTCCCCACAGGGCATCTACTATTACTTCCACGGCACGAACCCGCGCGCATTTGTGGCGTGGGTCTGTGGCTGGGCACCGCAATTGCCCGGGTTCATCGCCAACGTCAACAAGAGCGTGAGCGTGCCAAAGGCTTGCACCGAGATGTTCTACCTTGCCTTCCCGCTGGGGCTGGCCATCAGCTTCACACTGTACTATGGACTCAACAGGATGTTCCCACCCCAGGGTCTGGGCGAGTACGACGACGTCGACTATTATGCAACATTCACCAACGACGAGGCTGCCAAGCTTGGAGTCTCGCCTTTGGAAGAAACACAGGGAGAGGAAAAGGCTGGGCAGTACGGTTTTCCTGTGAACCAGAAGGTTGTGGAGGCGGACGTGTACGAAACGAAGAATTAGAGCGCGGGCGCGGGATTGGAAATGACTGGATTCTCTGGTACCTTAGTCCTTGACTCGACTCAAGGGTATTGGTCTCGCAAGGGATGTCCTATACATAGATACACCTGTAGACACTATTAGAGCTCAGGCGAGTTGAAGCGAGCCAAACACATGTTACACAATATGGCCAAGAGCGACACTTACAGTGTAGTCGTCGTCTCAAAGTGTCTTCTGTTTCTCGATTCTCCCTCTCGACTTGCACTGACCAGTTATCGCCATCATATTCACCCACTGTTCTAGCCTTCGGTCTGCTGTGCACAAAAGTCGCAAGACTAACCTTAGAAGCGGTATAGTTGAGGATAATGTGAACAGGGTGAAAGTCGAAAATGTCCAGCTCCCAGCCTACTCTCAACTTTCTTTTTATTGCTGAGCAGAGCTGAAAAGGACGGGGACGACCATGTACCATTATACTGCACCAGCCTTGTGAGGATATATGTATCGGCTCAATGTCCGGGGTTCATTCAGGACACCGAGGTTGAACCGGAGATCAACACGACGAAGAGTTGCTACATACTCGGTTCTTGTGAAATCCTCCGACAACGCGAATAGGCCAACTCCGACACTCACTTTCGACACACGATAGCTGTCCGCTGCACGCAGGCGTGAGAGGCGAGTCAGATGCAGTTGACCTGCGGTTTATCGGCAGGACCAAATGTCAGCTGTAATCGGAGTCGTGCCGCTCGATCCTCTCGAAAGAAGCATATGCGCGGACATGGGCTTTAGCGTCGCAAATGGATACTGAGCGACTGGGGCTTTTGTTGATATCGACTGCTCAAAAAGCACCGACGCTATCTCTCATGCCTGTTCGAGTAACCCGCGACCCTCGGCGCGACACCGGTGCGGCCCTGATCGACAGCGCCAGTGATTCACTTGGGCTCAAGAACACTCGATGCTTGGATAGCACTTGTCGACTTGTGTCCCACAGGGCTTCATGATTCCTATCAAATTACCCGGTTGGGAAGGATGGATGAGATTCCACTGCAACGGCTATTGGACGATGTTCTTGATAAAACTGACCCATCACGATAGACCAGGGTCTGGATAATGGCCCGCCACGGACGACAAGGGTTGAACACGAGCCCCGATACTGGGGAGATGCGTCCCAAGGCTCGAATATACTAACAATGGCAAGAGAGACACCGTCTTCGGCCACGTGCCTCGACAATCCCCAGCGAACAGATAAACTGGAGTCAAGCGCTATTCTCTCTCTTCCCTTCATTTCCACATCCCACACAGGAGAAGGGAAAGACTTGTCTTGCTTACACACAACCATGGCAGACGCAAGTCGCAATGTGGTCCCGGGGACCATCCACCTCGTCGACACCGAGGCCGCTGAACACACGGGCAAGAAGGACATTGTGCTCAACCCACGGCCGAGCTCAGACCCGGAAGACCCGTTGAACTGGTCCAAGAAGAGGAAGTTGTGGGCCATCACCATGGCGTACGTCTACATCATGGGCATCGGCATGTCTACCACGGTGCAGTATTCCATCTTGACCAACATCGGCGAGGCGACCGGCATCTCCATTGCTGACATCAATACCGGCACTGGTCTGGTAAGTGTTTTGTCAATATCAAACAACTTGGGGGGGCCCCGTTTCTAACAAAACACGCCATAGCAATTCCTGTTCGCGGGCTGGGGATGTCTGATTTGGCAGCCACTGGCGCTCGCCTACGGACGGCGAGGAGTGTACATCCTGAGCAGCCTGTTGGCCATTGGCCCTATGATCTGGACCGTCTACACCACTTCCACGAGCGTCTGGTGGGCCCACCGCAGCCTGTTGGGCCTCATCATCGCGCCGGTCGAATCGCTGGGTGAAATCTCCGTCTCGGACCTGTTCTTCGCCCACGAACGCGGCAACTACATGGGCATCTACACGCTGCTTGTGTTTGGCTCCAACGCCCTCGCGCCCTTTTTGGCCGGGTTCGTCACCTACTCCATGGGCTGGGAGGCGGCCATCTGGTTCGGCACCATCGTCCTCGGCGTGTGCACCATCATCATCTACTTTGGCATGGAAGAGACCATGTACTTCCGCAAGACCATCGAGGGCATCGACGAAGGAGCCGCCGAGGTCACCCCGGAGGGTGTCGAAACCTTGGGGGAGAAGACCGACGCCGTGTCCAAGAGCGCACCGCTCCAGGAACCCGCTTCGCCCCGGGCAGAGTCGTTCCGTCTCAAGCCACGGACCTACTGGCAGAAACTGCAGCTGTTCCGACTCGACGAAGGCCGGCCGTCGGTGAAGCAGATGTTCATCATGATGGTGCGCCCGCTCTGGATGTTCTTCTACTTCCCCAACGTCAACTGGGCCGGTTTTCTCTACGGGGCCTCGCTGTGCTGGTACAACGTGCAGAACGCGACCATGGCGCTGATCCTCAACGCGGCGCCCTACAACTTCTCCGCCCGGGCCGTGGGCATTGCCTACTTGTCGCTGCTCGTCGGGTGCTGCGTGGCCTGGTGGTGGGCCGGCTGGGCGGGCGACGAGATCGCCATCCGCCTCGCCCGACGCAATCGGGGCATCCGCGAACCGGAGCAGCGCCTCTGGCTGCTCACCTTCTCCGGCACCATCGCGACCGCGGGGCTCATCCTCTGGGGCGTGGGCGCCGCGCACCAGACGCACTACATGGGGCTGATCATCGGCCTCGGCATGACCAGCTTCGGCATCGTCAGCGGCGGGAGCACGGCGCTGGCGTACGACGTCGACTGTTTCAAGGAGATTGCCGGCGAGACGGTCGTTTTGGTCATTGTGATTCGCAACACTGTAAGATTTTCCTCCTCTCTTTTTTCTTCCCAACCTTCTTTCCCGCTGTGAGCAAACGACGGTAGTTTTATGCGCGCGCGCGCCCTTCACTTTCCTTTTCCTCTCTCCCTTTACTGACTTTTTTTTTCTTTTAACTTACTTACTGCTACACAGATGGGCTTCGGCATGAACTACGGCATCACGCCCTGGCTGGAGAACACGGGCACGCAGAACTGCTTCATCGCCGTCGCATTTCTCTGCCTCTTCTGCAACTTTAGTTTCCTGTTCATGACAGTCTGGGGCAAGAAGCTCAGGCGTCTCTCGGCCAAGAAGTACTGGGAGTATGTCGACACGTTGATCGTGGGGGGGCATTAGAAGACGAACCGAACGAACGCCTAGTCAGGGTCTGAGCGAGGAGGGTGTGGCGCGGGTTCAGAGGCAGGCTTGGTTCCTAGTTCGCCCGGGTTGAATTGTTGGATGGATTGGTGGATGGATGAATGGATGGATGGGGGATTGAAGTAAAAGGGAAGGGAGAAAGCAGGACAAGACAAGATAAGGGCAGGACACGGTGCATGACAACGAAATGCTATTGTGTCTGTATTGATGTATGTATGTGGGAGAGAATGCGCCGCGGGCAGACCGTCGACCTACATTCCATCGCATCGTATACAAGTGTGTGTGTATGCCACAACACGACGTCTTTTGTGGCTTGTACCAAAACACTGCACTACCGAGTAGGTTCCCTCGCGGAAAAGGGTGATCGACCGCGCACCGCGCATCGCACCTCGTACTCGTACCCGTACTCGTACAGTAGGACGCATGTGGTAAAAGGGTGTCTGTCTTTGTGGCGTTGAGTCAAGAATCCAATTATAATCGGGAGATTCTCTTGCGCTTGGTGGGGGATGATATATCTGTCTATTATCGATTTATCTATCTATTGTCTAGATACAATACATATGTGTCTCGGCTTCCTGGGCTGCTTTATACTTTTGGTCTATCACCCTATAGAGAGTACACGCTGTGGCGAGTAGAGCATAAGGAGTATTTGTCTGTTAACTGTGGGTGATATACCGAGTACGTGATATGTATGCATACAGTATCTCACACAGGCTTTGTCTTTGTGCTTGTGCTTTATTACTTGCTACCCGAACTCGTACTGGTAGACCTTTTGTTTGCTCGCGAGTCGAGAGGGGAATGAAAAAGACGGAGAGAGAGCAACCCGATCAAGAGCACCAGATAGATATCCAGGCGATCCCGCCAGCCATTGTATGGAAGCACACTCGCAGACAATGTCACAACAGCGACGAAAGGGGCAGGAGTATCAAAAAAACCACCCGCCCTATCATTCCCATTCTTTCATCACGACGATGATCATCCTCTAAGCCCTGAGGCTCTCTTGCCTAATTGGGACATGTCCCCAAGGGGAAGGGAGATAATATTACGATAACTATGATCAGTAAAGTGGATCTGTTCCAACCAAGACCTCGGACAACGGCTTGGTGGTGCAGCATGGCATGGCATGGCATGGCATGGCACTTCTCGCCGAGTCAATCAGCAGGTCACCTATTAGCCAGTGCTTGTCCTGGGTATGTACTTGCACGTTGCACGAATGAACAAGGCAAGGCCCGAGGGTCCCAACGAAATATCATTAGTTACTAAAACTTGGTTACCTATTCGGGCCTACAGTATCGTCGGTCGTCATTAGCACCAGTAGGGACCGTTCCTACTCGTATGTAGAGCCACTCCCCGCTCCACCGTTTCCTCTTATGTATGCACTCTATTCGTATGTATATCGCCCCGCATGCATGCATGCATGTAGTGGATATCACCGCACGCACCACACACAACTAGGGACCCTCCTCATCCCCCTTCCTCAAAGTGTACCCAAGTGGCTGGCCTTTTGGCTTCCCACTCACAAATTCCACCCTTGGCCAACAGAAGATAATCGATTTCGTTTTACGCCAATGGGATTGGACATTTTATTCTCTTCTCTTGAATTCCGTGACCCGAGATACGTAACGGGAGGGGAGGGAGGGGGGCCGGCCGGCGCGGTTCAGCGATAATAACAATGGTGTGCTCCGTATCTCTCCAATCAATACTCAATGGATGGAGGGAGGGCCAACTCAAAAAGGCGACGCGACCTTCTCTGTCTCTCCCCAATGATGGAGGCTGGATGATACATATAGAAGGCGGAGGAAATCCGAGTTGCTGGTAATATTCACTACCACAGACCAAACAAAAGGAAACAGCTGTTCAAAAGCCAAATGAAGCTGAAGCTGGCTTTTGTCTGTCTGAGATAAAGATTTCATCCTTCGTACTTTTTTGAAGGACTCTTGAGTTGAAACAGCGATATCCCTATCCATACAAAAGTGCCTTGTAAGTGAGGCTGTCCTTGCACCTTTACGTCGTCAAAGACGTCCTTTCACGCCTTCCGAGAGAGAGGACGAATTTCAAAAGGAGATAGATTCTTGTTGTGATATCTCTAGATCAACATGAGCACAATCGATACACCCCCCAAGGACTATCCCTCCGAAATCACAGGTTATGCCGACCCCTGGATCGCCAGCCCTGGAGACGAGGTCGCCATCAAGGTGTCCTGCACCGAGCCGGAATACTCCTATCGCACTGTACGCGTGATCCAGGGCGTCCAGGAAGACCACTCGCCCGTAAAAAGCCTCGAAGAGGTCTCCCAGATCCCCTCGGGCGTGGCTCCCGGACGCTTCCAATACGCCCGATCGGGTTCCTACGCGATTGTCAAACGACTGAGTCTGCCCTCGACGCTGGAAGGGGTGGAAGTCTCGCTCTTCTTCCAAGCCCATCTACCCCAGGCAGGGCATCCGCAGGCCATCATCTCGAATCTGAATGCCGACACCAAGACCGGATTGGCCGTCTTGATCGACGACAAGGGCCTCGTCGAAGCGTGGATCGGGACCGGGAGCGGCGTGGAAATGGTCCAGACGGGATTCAGCCCCACGCGACGAAGATGGATCAAGTTGAACGTTGTGATCAAGGGGGCAGAATGTTCCATCACCCTTCAACCTGTGGCGTACGTCGTGGAGAAGACTCCGTCTTCCTCGTCGGTGAAGACCACACTGGCCTCGCCCGTGGTCGCGTCTTCGACGCCCTTTTCCGACGATCTCTTGATTGCAGCGACCTACGCTGACAGTCCAACCTCTGGTTTCCCAAGAGCAACACATTTCTTCAACGGACGCATCGACAGCCCGACGATCTCCGTCCTCAAAGGAACTTCTACCGAAGTCATCGCCAAGTACGACTTCTCCCGTAACATCTCGGAAGACACCGTCCTCGACGTGTCGGGCAACAACTTCCACGGCACGCTGGTTAACGCGCCGACGAGGGCCGTCACAGGCCCGGACTGGAACGGCGGCGAGTCGGACTGGACAAAGGCCAAGTACGGCTATGGGGCGATCCATTTCCACGAAGACGACCTGGACGATGCCAAATGGGAGACGGATTTCACCATCAAGATACCCCAGGACGCGCGGTCCGGCATCTACTCGGTTGAGGTGAAGTCGACCAATGGCAAGACCTCCGACATGATCACTTTCTTCGTTCGGCCTACCCCAGAAACCACGGCGGCAACGGGTGCAAAGGTGGCCCTGGTGCTGTCGACCTTTACCTACCTGGCGTACGCGAACGAGCAGCTGTCGGACCGAGCGCGGTCGAGCTCCATCGACGTCGGGCCCAGCTTTGACCACTCATCCATCAAACGCAGCGAGGACTTTGAACGCCTCAGACGCCGTCGCGACCTGGGCCTGTCCAACTACGACGTGCACAACGACGACTCGGGCACCGTCTTCTCATCCGCGAAAAGGCCAATCCTCAACCTGAGACCGGGGTATGTGATGTGGGCTTTTCAACGGCCTCGCGAGCTCAGCGCCGACTCGATGATGATTGGGTTTCTCGAACGGCAGAAGATCCCCTATGATATTGTCACGGACCACGACCTTCACCTCCACGGTGCCGCGGCCTTGGCCCCGTATACCACCGTCATGACGGGGTCCCATCCAGAGTACCCGACCGTGCAGTCCTACAATGCGTACGAAGATTTTGCCCGGAAAGGCGGCAACCTTATGTATCTCGGCGGCAATGGTTTCTACTGGGTCTCAGCCGTAGATACTGCGCGGCCCTGGCGCCTCGAGGTCCGCCGTGGAGACCAAGGTGTCCGCTCATATACGCTTCCTGGCCCTGAGAGGATCATGAGTCTGACCGGCACGCAGGGTGGATTGTGGAAGAGCCGTGGACGATCTTCGCACGGCCTGTTTGGTATTTCCTTTTGCGCCGAAGGGGCCGGACCCGGCGTGCCGTTTAAACGAACAGAAAAAGGTCTCGGCCCAGAATTTGAGTGGATGTTCAAGGACATCTCGCGGGAGGAGCTGATCGGCGAGTTCGGCCTCGGCGGCGGCGCCAGCGGCGACGAGATTGACTCGTTCGATCTCGCGTGTGGAAGCCCCACGAACGGAGTCATCGTCGCCACCAGCACGGGCCACCCAGACGACTTTGGCATTGTCCCGGAAATCGTAAACTTCCCCATCACGGCGACGCTGGGCACCCAAACCAACGAGATCCGCTCCGACATCGTCTACTACGAGACCGATGCCGGGGGCGCCGTCTTCTCAGTCGGCAGCATAAACTGGTATTGCTCGCTGGGCTGGGACGACTACCAGAACAATGTGGCCAAGTTGACCGAGAATGTCATTAGGGAGTTCATGTCGAGAGCGGAGAAGAACGCTGCGGCGAAGGAGAGCGTGGTCGTTACCTCGTGATCTCGGTTGGTTCTGTTAGTTTTGCCTCTTGAAAGCAAATGAATTGAGGGAGAGCGGAGTATCTCCACATTTATAGCATCATTGTCATATCCGTAGAGGATCGGACAAGGTCGTGTGCGCGCGGTGTGGTGTAGGTAGAGGAGAACGCCTCTGTGCGCAGGATGAGAGGTAGAAGCCCGGATTTTCTCACATCCACAGCGTTGTCGATCGCCTTGCAAGGAGATTAGTGACGCATTTTAAGTCAAGGTAACCTCGTATGGAACAAATCAGACTCAGACAGTTACTGCTCTCAGCGGTCGTCAGCATTTTTCTATTGCCCTATAGCTAGTGCCTTGCCCTATAGCTAGTGCCTTAGGTTCCCGTCGAATAAGATCCGATCAAGGACAGTCCAAAGACGCTCGAAACCGCCTAACCACGAGATCAGGTTAGGTTAGACCGCAAAGAGAAGCCGTCGAAGCCTGAAGAGGGCTTGGAAAGGTGTCAGGTTCATTCTGGCACGTACATCAACTGGCGAGATGACGTGCACAGCCGGGATCCGACGCTGGCAATATAATATGGCACAGTCTCAGCAAACGTTTGCGAACCGACCCATGGAGTACATTTCCTCAGCAACGGCAAGTATAACAGGTTCTCAAGAGAAAGAGACAGTAGAACATCGAGTTGAAGTCTATTAGAGAGGGAGAATGATGTGCTCGGTAGCGGCCACTGGTTGGACAAACTCAGGAGTTCGGACCGGAATAAATAAAATCCGTGATGCTCACAAAGCGCAGTCTAAATCCCTTTCAGGGTCCTGCACCCACAAGTTCCCGTGTCAGTGACAAGCTGCTCGGATATAGAGTGCTCGCTCACGCACTCATTGATGGCGCCGTCCCCTTCATGGATGCGATATCGAGTAGACCATCAGGTCCATTTCACTGACTCATACAAGTAAACACAGAACCCTCAGCACGAGAAGAGATGAGACAAGACAAGTCTCCCAACAAACCCTCCTGCGATGCGTTCATTCGACCCCTCCGCCTATCCCTCCTACCTCTCCCAAAGACCACTCAATGCTGCTACTGCGCGTGTCTCGCCTGGAGTTGACCCGCGGACTTTGCATAAGAGCGCAAGAGATGCGAAACACGGACGTTACACTCCGCAGGACCGGAGACGGGCTGCATTGAGAGGACAAAAGGCGGCACGCTGGCAGATGACAATCCAACAAAGATTTCGCTTTCACAACGAATAAATAAACAAACTCGCACATGGACCGACTATGTGACTATGTACAATGGAAAAATGGTCCTGTGGGCGCCAAGTCAAAATGGTTCTTTTCCCCCCTTCCCCCCCTTGGTTCTCGCTCCAGGAAGATGCTGCAAAACATCACAACAACATGCATGGTATTTGCGACCTCACAACCTCACCCAACCAGGTGTCTCCCCTCTCTAACACTCTGGGGCTCACCCCCGCGATCATTCCTCGTACTTGCCTCCCACAAACATGAGGTTGCTCTTTTCCAGAGCTCCCTTCAGGTATTCATAGACGGTAAACGTCACCGCTTGTCCAGGAGCCACACGCATCACTCTGGGCGTGATACCTTTGTAGAACGCCTTCGGTCCTTCCTGCTTGAACATGTCGCTGGAGATCTTCATGATCCTCGAGAGTGCAGTCTGACCCGGCTCGGCGGGCGTCTTTTGCAACCGCGTCTTGATCGTGTCGATGGGGGCGTTGGAAAAGGGACCCATGGCGCCGGATATCAGCCCGATGACGGTAGTCTGGTAACCGGGGAGGTTCTTGTTGTCGAATTCCGGCTGCCATTTCTGCAGCATCTCTTTCAGTTCCGTGTACACCGTGAAGTTGACGGCCTGGTTCGTGCCCTGGCGCAGGGCAGTGAGGGACACACCGCGGTACAGGGCGCCGAAGCCTTCTTCGCGGATGACGGTCATGAGGGCGTGCGGTGCGCTTCGGTACTTGGGGACGTCGAGCGGGTCTGACAGACTGTGGTATTGGGCTTGCATTCGAATCTTGACCACCTCCATGGGCGTCACCACCGCGACTGCCTCTGTGATACCGGCGGCCAAACCAGCTGTGTTTCGCGCGTTAGTTGACATGCCACTCGCCGTGCGTCACCTTTGCTTGTGCGGAGGGGAATGCTTACCCATGAACGTCGCGCGCGAACTGACTTTCCCATCCGGATCGGCCAGGAGCTGCTTATACCACTCGTACGAGGTGAAGCGAATGGCCATCTTGGGGACGATGCCCGTGAGAACGGCGCCTAAACCCTTATATAGACCAAAAACCGTTTCCCGCTTGACAATGTCCCGCCCGGTCATGATGAAGCCGCGCTTCTTGGTCCCCGGCGTCCTCCCCCTCCGGGACAGCTGCATGCGCACCTTGATCGTGTCGAGCGGGTGGCAGACCAGGGCCTCCATCATGCCCGCGCCGCCGCCGGCGATGAGGTTTGTCGCCGCGCTGGCGGGCTTCTTGCCGCCTTCGCCTTTGACGCTCTTGGCCGACATTTTTTTTTTTCTTTCGTGAGAGTCTTCTCTAGGGAAAAATAATCCGTTGGCGAAGCTATTACGTGCTCAGCAGCTCATGCGCAAAGCACCTTGGTGAGACCGTATAGTCTAGTCGAGGCTAGGGTAGAGAATACGGTTCGGCGAGGTCGGGCTCGGCGGATTTCGAGGGTCGACTCGTTACGATCACCTGAGGAGTAGGAGGAGCGCAAACGAGGAAATTTAAAGAGAGAGGTCGAGGTCGAGGTCGGCCTGTTACGAAGCGTGCTTATGACAACACAGACACCCCAGAGAGCTAGACTCGGAGACAAGGAAAGGGATGAGGGCAAGAAATAATGTCAAGCTCCCTCAAAAGCGCAAACAACGCCCAATGGTTTCAAGTTGGTAGTGAGAGGAGAGGAGAGGGGGACGATCGTGACTCAATAACCCGCCAGGAAGATGAAGAGAGTCTTGCACACCCGAGAAAGCCCAGAGAAACCGAAGTGAGGAAGAAGTCGAGTAGTTTTGGCAAAGAAAAAAGGGAAAATATCAGCTAGTCTTATGACAATCATGCACGATCCCAACCAAGACTTTGAACGGACACGAGTGAGGGACGGACGGACGTTGTGGTGGACGTGTGGACTACTAACAACTTCTACCGAGTAGCAACGTCTACTAGACACTACCAAAATTGCCCCGGTTTGAATCCGGAAAATCATCGAAGATTGCATGCATGCAGCAAGGGAAAAAAAAAGGTCCGAGAGGCAAAAACCGAGAGGAAGAAGACGCAGCAACAAGAAAACAACCGCGTTTACCGTTCAAAGAGTTTCGTCGTGAGTACCTAGCTAGCCAGCCAGCCAGCTAGCTAGCTTTTTTGTCCCCTTCCGCCGAGGCAGGATGAGAAAGAAAGGCGAGCGGCGGCGGCGACGGGCGGGGACCTTGGGTGGCAGCGGGTTAGCGCGACAGTGCCAGGGCCGAGCAATAATAATGAACAAGGATTGGAGCCATGAGCCATGAGGCATGCATAGCCCATGGGAAAAAAAAAAAGACCAGAGAGAGATTTCATCATATGCCCAGTGTGTCATAATGGCAAGTGGCAGCCCCCCAGCAGCTTTAGCGGAATCCTTACTAGCCTCGAGAGAAAGCTCGCCAGGCACAAGAGCGGATTGGAAGGACGAGTGGAAAAGCAAAAAGCACGAGACTTGGGGATGAAGTCAGAAGGTGCAACAAAGACACCAAAAGGGTCAGCTGGATTTCCCCCCCACCATAGCTTGTTCCTTGGTACATACAAACATGTAATTTGTGACGCATGTTTTACGAGGCATCGGATGCGGATCTCAGCTATCAATTTGAATCTGACAGCCGAGGAATGCGGGGGAGGAAAACAAATTGAAAAGAGAGAATGACGAGGGAATTACGCATCCAAGCATCCAAATCCCCCCGCCAAGCATGTGATTTCCATTCCCCATTTCCTTTCCATTTTCAATTCTGCCTCGGTAAATATGTTTTTCCGTGCATACAACCAGCCAAGGGCGCGGTCATGTTCAGCTTAACTGCGCCCATTTCACTTACTCACCGACTTGTATGGTCAATGATAGAGACGCCTCAACCCATCGACCGCCTACCCCTCGGATACGCAACCACCATCTACAAAGTAATCGTCGTGACCGAGTACCCTGGACTATCTTCCGGCATCAATGAGCCCTCGGCCTGGGCACCGAACAACACCCGAAACTCCCGGTTCTCTTTCGTCCTTGTCCCTTGCTGATTTCTGCTGACCCCGACATTTTCCGCGATCGCCGTCGGAATACCAGAGTCCACTTTATCTACCCAGGCGCGCCAGATAGCCGTCTTTGCGTGACTCCGCGATCGGTGGCAACTTGTGATCCGGCCGTCGAGTCCAGCCCTCGACGGACACTCTCTCCAGAAGCTGGGAAGACGCAGCATGGTCGCCGTAGCACAGGCGTAGACAAGAACTTGGGAAGCAAGTCTGTTGTCTTCGACGCAGGATGAGCACAACCTATGCTTGTGTCGGGGTTTGATGGCTTTGACATTGGCTTTGACATTGGCATGAGAAATGTCGATCCGCCAGATTCACTGCTATATCGATCTTTCTGCCGAAGTAGTGTAGATTGCGATTCAAGATTCACAGTTGACAGGACAGCGTTGTTGTACCTTCGATAGTCTCCGGTGCCAGCATAGCAGTTTCCTGGGCGTATATAGCCAATTCACGGCCATGGTTCAGTCTCCAAGGTCAGCATGCACAGCTCGCTGTAAGAGCCACGTCAGTTTCACCACGCTGCCCGGTTTCAGGTGATCCAGGAGCAAGAATCTCTCCTGGATCGGCCTGAAGTCTTCCCAAGAAAAGATCCCGAGTGTCTTTGCAAGTCTCTGGAAATGCACCGCAAACCATTCTTGATTGTCGACCAACTCGCTCGCAACAGCGCCCAAGCCGGCAACCCACAGGAGCATAGCTTGTTCTTTCACACTAGCCGGATGTTCCTGCAGACTCGAAATGATCCGCCCCAGCCTGTGCCGCAAAGATCTCGCGTCGACGGCCGCGCGCAGTGTAACTTGTCCTGCACTGACAGCATATGGTACACACGCTGGCACGAATGCCATCCAAACAATCAAAGCCAGGCGAACGCAGTCCTGGAAATTTGGTTCCCCAGAAACGGGGCTTTCGGGGCCTTCCCCGCCAATGCTGTCTTTAAAGTTAATCAATTCGTCTGCCACGAAATAGCTTCGAGCGACAGCCCAGTCTTGTTTTGGGATGAGAGCTTGTTCGGCGACGCCGGCCCAGTGACAATGAATGACACAGCAAAGCTCCAGGACAGCATCTAGCAGACGTTGAAAATCCTCGGTGAAGACGCTATTTGTTTCCATAAAACCATACCCCATTGGCTGTCTGCCATGTTTGCGCAAGGCGGCCACCGCACAGGTGTACTGCTGCGGCGTCAGCTCTTCAGTCTCCCATCTCTCTTGGATCAAGGGTGGAGTCTGTGTGGCAGCCGCCTGGAAACGATCCGCCACCCACAGCATGCGGCGCATATAAGGATCCAATTTCCGGAAGCCACCGAGGTGAGCATTGCAGAGAAATATGATCATCTTCCCATGCGTCCAGACGGCGTCCCAATTTCTTCGATAGCTCTCCACGGTCCACAAATATAGGATGCTTTGCACCAACTCATGGGTGATTGGTCGCGCTTGGCTCAAATAGCTCCTCAGGAGTCGAAGAGTCGCATCTGCCAGCCGCTCGGGTAGATCCGCGCGGGAAAAATGATATCGATCAACAAACTTCATTCGAGCACTTGCGGCAGCTAAGAGTGCAAGGACATGCAATTCGTTGGTTGTGGCTCGACGGACAGCCTGCACAGCAGGGCTTGACGAAGATGCTCGGGTGTGGCCCATGAATGCGACTACATCGCTTCGCGTCACTGCAGGGAAGAACCTCAGGACGAAGTACTCAAGGATGCGGTGCTTCTCGAGGTTCATTGGGACTCTGAACTGGCCAAACGGATCCAACGAACCCCATGAAGGAATGACAAGCGAGACCTCTGGAACATGATTCTTGGGTCCATCTGGAGTGATGCAGCAATCAGCGTCCGCCTCGCGCTGCCGATGTACGTGGGGTCTAAGAGCGACAGAATGGGCCCCCTTGCTGGGAGGCGCTTCTGAAAGCACGGGGAGAGGTTCCGAGGCGGGCGTTTGCCTGGGAGCGACCGAAACAGGAGTCCATCCCAGGGAGAACAGCCTCGCCCTCTTCAGTTTCCTTCGGGTTTCTTTCTCTTGTTCATAGTCTCGGGATTTCTGGACATGCTTGTGGATCTGGCGCGAACTCTCGACGTCGCCTTTGCTGTTGGAAAGAGACTTTGACTCGGGCGTCTTGTTCACAAAAAGAAGACCGGCCTTGTGGGGGGGCATTTCAGAGATGCATATTCGCAGGTAGTGCTTTGTAAGAGATGAGTGCGCATGGCCACAGAGGGACAAGAATCGGAAGACCAGGAGGGGACATGCGTAAAGAAACAATGGAAGGAAAGGGTGTGGTGATGCGGATAATACGCCCGGGCGGCGCAACTGGCGGTCAATATGCTTGCCCCAAAAACTGACCTGAGAGCTGCTTGGAAATCGGGCTTGCTCCAAACAGACAACGGTCTGTACGAGGTCGTTTGCGCGATAAACTAGCCTCTAGAAGCATCGAACGGGGGCGTGGTAAGAGATGGAAATCGAAGGGATAAAGAACTTCCGGGCTGCCGCAAGCCGGTGCCAACAGTTCGTTGGAGATCAATCTTGATAGGCGTCTTTAGGCCTTCGGCCCTGCGCTAAGGCAGACACATGGCCGGGGCTTCCTTGTGGGGGGTGGTTGGTCCAAGCACAGCATATTACCGAGTATCGTACTCCGATTGAAGGGCAGTTGATCGGATCGAAGCCTGTCAGTCAGAGCTGACAACAGAGTTGCAGACCTTGATCTGCGGACATTTCCAGAGCCTGATTTAGGCATCGTGGAGAGCTCACCCCGACGCTGGCTTCCCAAAACAGCTTCTTGACGCGACAGCGATCAAGATGCGAAGAGGATACGAGATACAACGTTCTTGTAACTGTGGAGGTTGTGTAAGGTTGAAGATTGGTCGTGCTTCGGTCTGGGTCCAAGGGACGCAGCCGACGACTGCGGGCCTTGGCAATTCCCTGCCCGGCGTCCCTGCGAAGACTTGCTTCATGTTTCAATCTCAGGTTCCCCCCAGTTGAGTATTACCCACCATACTCTCGTCTCGTCTTCGTCTGATGATATATGTATCATCACACGTCTCAGTCATCTCTCTAACAAGGCACCGATCGCAAAGAATATCAACTCAATGCGCGGATCACTCCAGCATCGCGTGGCTCCTTTCCGGAACTAATAGATCCTGACGACCCCATTTCCCAAGAAAACAAATGTTTGGTGCTGTTTTCCCATTTTCTGTGTCTCACCGCGGCCATCAAGTCCCAGGGATCCTGCACGGCAAAACTCACACGGCCCCCCCTTA